ATATTTTCATATAATACCATGCTATAAATTTAAAATAATTAAACATTAGCTTGTATATAACGGATAAGAAAACAACTAGGTACAATGAATTCATCGTATTCTGTAAATAGGTGAGATTATAATTTATGGACAACCTTTGAACGACTCTAAAGAGGCTTTGAGAATGTCTATCTACTGACTAGGGCTAAATGAGGTTTGTAAACCAGTGTGAGAAATTCGAATTATGATTCACAGTTGATGTCTAAGGTTAGAAATTAGATTTAGGTTTTTCATCACGAACTGATGTAAGTTAAAATGCCAAAACTCTATTTAGCCAAACAGACGAGTTAATTTTCGCTCCAAAATCCAAGACCTGTTATCGTAAATCTGATTGGTTCATCCATAAATTATACTCTCGCCTTTGGCAAATTCATTTTTAAAACTGTACACTTATAAAAATATACTTTTTATATAATAATAATCAGTAATATATATGTAAATCATAATAATTTATTAGACACTATAATAATACCACGAAATATTGTTATTGTTATTTAGAAACTGAAAAACCTAGTTTTTAGTACTTGAATGTCATACCTTCAAAAAAAGAGGTTGTCAAATAAGATATCATAAAAGTTTGAAACTGATAAACAATGTAATTAGAAGGAGTAGATAAAACTAGAATAGATTGATTAAAATTAAACTATCAATGGAAAAGAAGATAGAGAGAAGATAAAGTTTATGGAAGTTGAAAGTTAAGATGAAAGTAGAAACAGAGTTCAAATAAATTTCATTTGTATATATAATTATTCATTTTTTAAATGTATGAAAAAAGATTCAGCAATCTAAAGTAGTGTAGTAACTCTCTATCTTAAGCATGTTTCTACCTATTTCATAAATGACTTTGAACTCTGAGTTCGTTATGCTTGAATAATAAATGTTCATAAGGTACTTGATTACTCAGTTTCACATAATTCTATTTTCTACCCTTTTTTACTAAACGACTCTATTGGTATAGAACTTATGCTGAACTACTTATCTACCTAACTGCATAGAAAGCAAATGTATTTATAAATGCATATAGAAATGATCAGATGAACAGCTTATTCTTTAGATTATAATAATAACAAGACAACTAGAGAATACTCACCTCTTAAGACATTTAAAGATCCTTTATCTTCAACTTATCTGAAACTTTGTCACATTTGAAATCAATATTCATGTATAACATTTTCTTTATTTTTTGGAAGTTTCAGCTTTATATTCCTATATTTTCTGTTTCTTTTTTTAATGATTTAACAAAGTAAATATGATAGACCACCCAAAAATAATTAAATATTGATCAGTAACTTGTAACTATGGCAAATAAATTCATTCACACTCTTTAATATTCTATTTAATTATTTCTAAACAGGTAACTATTACCTATACTAGTAATCTGGTAATTTTTTTAAAAAAATGGTATGATACATTACAATTCTGAATGATTATTATATTTTCATATTTTTCTAACACACATGCACACACACACACATAAAATTACTGAACATCATAAAATGTAAAAGAGAATATTGTTTAACTACAAGTGAATGTCACTTTTCTTTTTACCATGTTGATTAACAAAACATAATTATAGTACATAAATCAATTATGTAATTTAGTAAAAGAATTTTCATAATTATTGTAAGAGCATATGATTATTTCTTTTATTATATAATCACAGAAAAATAAGATAAATCGATTCATATTGTTGTTATCATTTCAAAATATCACTATAAGAGATTATTTAATGGTCTTGAATCTGACTTCAATTAGATCATCAAGCCTAGAGTAGTTTTTGTGGCATGAGCATATGATAATTATTTGAATTATAATGGAACGATCTGTCGGATGGACACATGAGAAGAGATGACATGTGGACAAAGTATCGATAAGATAATACGATTTGAGCATGTCCATGTCGTGCTGCATAGCCTTTGTTGACTGCGTCGGATTAGAGATTGGGCTGGCTTCGCTGAGTTTGTACATCAAAAGTATTTTTTAAAGCTTTATTCAATATTATATTTTTGGTACAATATAGAATTTTCAGCACAAAGTATTTCAACAAGTTTCCGTTTCTTACTTTTTGGTCGATCCTGACGATAAATATTGAGTGATCGGCAGCTAGATTTTAGCAGTCCTGTAAATGAACATCTGAATAATGTATATTATTTTCGCTGCATATTGCCAGTGACCACTTTATCTCTTATCGGGCTTTTTGTAACTTTGACAACGAAAAGTTGTACACTTTTCAGAAATGTACCAGGATAGGTTATGCGATTCACAGACATAATGATATATTAAAACAAACAGAAATAGATAACTTTTTGAAATACCTAGACGGCAGAAACAGGTAGCCCAGATGCTCAAGCAGGCCGCATAGAGTGTAGAAGTTTCTTCAACGACACAGATTGCTGTGTTAGGTTCGTCGGCGGCGGGCTCAATACTTTACTGGGGCCCTTCATTTTGACGTCAGTTAGATCGGACGGTGTTATTGATGGGCTCACCACGTTTGTGTCCCGTTTGGTCCTTCTGATCTGGAGTCAGATAATCGGTCATTAAAGATCACTTAGTTACTTATATCCGATAGGGTATAAGTATTTAGAACAAATGTTTTGTGGGTAGAAATATAATCCAGGACGCTTTTCTTTTCTTATTTAAGACCTGACAATGGGATATACATGAATCTCAGTATCGATATTTATATTAATAACCGAACCCGTTCAACAAATTAGTGGATATCTGAATTCAGTAGTTTAATGGATAACCCACTGATGTTTAATGGAGTAAAATCCTGGGTTCAGGTCTCAATGTGAACACTTGCATTGTGATCCAACCACATCTACTTGATGAGTCTCAAATAAAACAAAACGTCAGTTTTTTTATTCCTCTGCTAACAATTATCCAAATTTAAATAAACGTTAACTATAAGCATTCGAGTATATAAGATACAAATTAGTTATTTTTCACTTCAAACTGAACCATGGTTAGAGCTCGATTTAATTTGCTACATTAAGCAGTTCATTGAATGCATTGTTACTTTAAATATTCATCAGTCATAATTCAGTAGTTTACAACTCAATTTTATAGTTTTCTAGTGAAAGAGAACACAAGTAGGGACAATCGAATGAAGCTGAATACAACATTACAAAACATCTTAGTAAAATCTGACAATCATACAGTAAATACCTCATTTGCAAACTGTCAATCAATTATCTCAAACTTCACTGTTCCTTCAACAAAATGTTAATCAATCATTTCAGACTTCATAGTTCTTTCTTTTCCACATCAATTATTCTTTGTTCTCGTTCTCTTTCCTTAGATCTTCTTAACCTTCTGCCTCTGGACATTTCATCTTCGATTAATAATACATACTACTTATATCTGTCGAGATTAGTAGCACACATTACAGTTTTAATTTTATTCGTATGAAAAATCACTTCGAAAAAGCAAAGAGGTTAATTTACATGAAAGGATAATTTTTCATTAATAAATTTATCAGTTCATAAATGTTATGTTACGTATCACATCAATTTGGTAGAGATCACATGTTAAGAGAAAAAGAATGACAACATGATTGGTTAAATGAGATTATTTATAGTATTTCAATCTTCTCTTTTAAAATGTCCTAAATTCAGAATTAAAACTACATTTACACTGTGCAGATTACTGATAAACAGATTCAACAAATCTTTGTACATCATAGCTTTGTGTGAATTGTTTTTTTAAAGATAATGTTAGCTATTTCTAGGAATAGATTCTTTAAATGAACTGATATGGTGTGATGTTATGTATTGATTCAGTGACTGTAATCATAAACCTGAACTAGTCAGGATGGAAGTTACACTAAATCTGATGTTTATTAGTAAATATTGTTAGTTTTTATTGGCTGTACTTCTTCAATCAATCACCTTTGTAATGGTTATTAAATAAATTTTAACGGTGTTTTAAATCAGAAGGCAATAAGAAATGGAAACTATAGTTTATTAGCGGATAGCACGGATAATAAAGGTATAAGCACATCGAGTGAATTTGAGGCAGAGAGGCGAATGTGTGTGTGTGTGTGAGCAAATACAGAGGCAAATTTATAGTCAAATCGAATTTGGGCTCGTAAAGGCAAAGCAAAGACTAATAATAGGATTCGCATCCATAAATAATAATTCATCAAGCGATATTTAAGCTATTAACATTTTAGCTAGAGTCTGTCATATATTCAAGCGTGCACGTTTATACAAATATGATAGTAATCATAATAGTACAAAGGAAGATGCGAATTGTCACTATTCGAATAACATTGTCTGTTAAGTAAGTTAATAAAAGGGCTAAACCAAAATTAACCATAATCGAAATCGGTTGTAGGATAGTTGCTATAATTTTCTGATGGTTATCAAGTACCTAACTCGGAACTATTTACAATTTAATTTTATACCATGATTCACTATTATTTTCTTCAAAAATATCATGGGATATTATTAGTTTCTCATAAGTTATTATTTCAACAATGTTTAAGCTGACTTGTATGACATTTTCCATAGAAATCCTGTTTTATTTCTAAGATTATTACATGTCTTGCATAGAACTTTAATCCGAACACTTTGATAAGTAAAGTAACGTATAAATCAGTGCCGAAATTTCTATTTGAGCTCAAATGTTGGCAAAAGATTCAGCTAATATTTGTCTGCTTAACATGATTTTATGTTCGCGTTAAAAATAACTCTTATTTCCTGACTAGAATTATTCAAAATTTAGTGTTCGGTTTTCCCTTTGATCTCCCTCTGAATTAAAGTTGGTGATACATCAAAATATGGTTTCGAGATGTTCATCGTTACTTATGGTTGTACAAAGATCAAAATAACGTCATGGTCCGAGAGATATTGTACATCTAATGTTAAATTCTTTACTGAAATGACTACAATTGTCATATATTTTGTGGAGAGATTCAAAACCATTATTTATTAATAAATTTGTAACACCTATCATGCAAACATTTATAAAGTACATGAACATGAAGTAATTTACTTATCTTGAGCATCTCTTAATGGTTAACGGCATCCTGGAACCGCTTTAACTGTTTAATAGGATTTTTCAGGTATGGGAGATAGAAGTATCTGTTCAGGTGAGCTTCATTATTTAGCGATTTGCTCCATACTATATCATAAGTGTGAAATGGGTGGGACGTGCGTTCCCAATGGTAGTCAGTCGCTTACCTAGGCGTACTGTGGTATCTAGAAAAGAAGTAATTGGAAAAAGACTAGGAATGAGGAAGTAAAATGACTTGGGATCAGTTGATAAATCACTGAATATCCGTCAAAGCAGAAATAAGAAATCCAAACCTCCTGAATTACGTCACAAGATGATGTTTGGAAATTATATGTAAAATGTCTTAAATCAGCCACAGTGGTGAAGATGCGTACTTTTTCAATTTTGTTCTAAAAGTTAAATACTTCATTACTCCGTCGTTTTTATTTCTCGATTTTTTTATTGACGTTTTAAATTGTATCAATTGTAAGTACTTTACCATCACTAAATTTGTTATTATTTTATTTCAGTCTCTGTACAAACAGTACTCTTGGTAATCGATCTAAAAACTTTGTTTACTGTCCAAATTCAACATGTCTTATCGATCAATAATTTGACAAATGTACCTAATCTCCCAAACTACATCACTGAGTGTCCATTTTGACGTCACAAAACGTTGTTAGTTTTTACCTAGTAAATGTGATATTTTATATTGCTTGTCATAAAAAATGTAACCGTCAAAATACATCCAATTTATTTAGGCTCTCTCACAAGATTGTTTGTAAACTGAACCTACACTTGTATCAGGTAAACATGTCCGTCACATCAGTATTACAGATATATATATATATATATATATATATATATATATATATATATATATATATGATTTCATCTTTGTTTAAAATTTGGAAAGCGTTAAATTTTATAATAATCTAAGGTAACACTATTTATTTAGCTTAGTCAGTAGGTTTACTTACTTAATTAATTACTTACGCCTGTGAACCCTAATGTAGAATAGCCCGACGACCAGCATTCTCCACCACACTCTGTCCTGGACCTTCCTTCCTAGTTCTATTCAATTTTTGTTCATTCTTCTCATGTGTTATTTGGTCTTCCTCTTCTCCTTTATTATTATTATTATTATTATTATTATTATTATTATTATTATTATTATTATTATTATTATTATTATTATTATTATTATTATTATTATTATTATTAAAAACCGTTCAGTCAATATAACCTAGTGTACATAATCCGTTGTTAACTTACATAGAACACATTTATGAGCAGAAAACAGTTGTAGCATATTAGACAAAATGTTTTTTTATTAGCATGGGATTGTTGAGATTATTATGTTTTTGATTGAGATCATGAATCGATTGACG